AAAATATAATCAGTGATGATGGTACTCCAATTTGCGTTGGACTGATAAAAGCACAAAGGTATTGAGTAGCAAATTTTCCTTTCATGAGTTACAGCCACCAGGTTCCATTTGAGGTCAAAGCCTTTGATTATCGTTCAAACATTGGCTACAAAAGCTTTCATAACTCTTGTACGGAGCAGTCCGCAGATAAGGAAGACAGATTTTGATTCAGCATTCGACGTCCTTCAAAAAGGGTCTAGGAAAGTCTACTTCGACCAAGAATCCTTCCTTTGTTAGCTGTGAAGAAGACGAAAAAAGCTTCGATTGCAAAAATATTTTTTGATGGTGTTTCGAAAATTATTTAGTGGCTGGTAAAAAGAAAAAGTTTTGGAGTGACTCAATAGTGGACTCTTCTTGCACAACTACATAATTTTTATAAGCCTTACCTCTCTTCCCAACGTCGCAGAAGAAAGTTTAGAACTGTTTTAAAATTTTTTTTTCATCAACATAAGATACGATTTGCATTTTCGAACGACAACAAAATAATAGAAACATCAATGACGCTTGCTAAAAACCATTAACTGTAATTCAATATTACAAGATTTTTGAATAAGATCTAATTGCAGATACCTCAGCAAGCTTGCCCAGTTGAGCGGATTATTAGAATGAAGAGTTGGTTGGTCCTTATAGATTACTTTCATGCGTTGTATCTATTTTTCAGTAAAAAGCGATACACGAGTGGACATTGGTGGATCCGTACACCAAAGGCAGTGCTTGAAGAAAACAACAACAGTGCGTATGTTGAACTTCATGCTGCATAAAGAAAAAACTACTTCATTTGTGGTACTCTACCAAAATTCAGGACTTGACACTTTACGTTCTTTATAAAGCTGTCGCTCTGAAACGTCTGCGACTAATGATGAGGGGGCAGAGTAAGAAAAAAACACATAGTGGGAATCAGAGTATTGACTGAAAGACGCGTAGGAATGTGACGATCCCATAATATCCATTGCTGTGGCAAAGTGTGGAGACGAGGGAGTTTGGGTACTACACTTTGAACCGACTCGAATGACTATTCGATTATTCAAATAAATCATTCTATTGCGAATGACTCGACAGAATATTATCCAAACATTCGATGGTCATCGAGTCAACTATTCAATGTTAATAAAGTATTCGAATATTTTATGAGCACCAAATATTCAAAAATTCTGTATCCATAGCATATACGGGGTGTTCCAAGAGTAACTGCACTTTTCATCGCGAATACCTCTCCTATAAAGTCTTTTGCAAAACCTTCGCGCAACACGTAGGGCTGGCTTCAGCGTGCATTTACAGCAAAAAGCTATTCACCCATGCTTTTATTATTGTGGGATTACGGTAGGAACTTCCAGCATATATGGAAACTGCGAAGTAAGACTTTAGAAAGAACTTCTCAAGTAAAATCTAGAAATTTGTGTATCAGAGTTTCTACGCAGTTGATTCTACAACGCAACTTTTATGAGTTCTGAATGCTTTTCAAATGTGTAATCAAGTTTTTGAGAAGCATTGAAAAACATTTGTTACGGTGTACATGGCATAACTACGACTGAGTGCAACATGCGGCCCTCGTTGTTTCAGAATCCTAGTTTAATTTCCTGCGGTATTTATCAGTCCACATCTCTTCGAGCTTTAACCTGAACAGTTTCAAGACGAGCCGGATTTGTATGTCGCAGCAGTTGCTCGATTTCACTACTCAGGAACTTCAAGTTCGCGTCTTCATTCGTAATGACAATTTTCTTTAAAGTTTCTTCACAAAAATTTCTTCACAACGTCATAGAAATAGGTATATTAGGTTGTGTAATAAGTTCTGTCCCATTTTTTCTTTCGATTTTTTCTCAATATTTTGCGCGATGTTCTGTAAATTGTTTGTATGCATTTGAAAGCTTTAAGCCTTCTCTACTAAGACTCTCATTTCGGTTTTCTCCAACAGAAGACTGGAGAAAGTTTTACAGCGTCAAATTTGGAAAATCAAACAGGGAAAAAATCCATTTTCGACAACTACGTTACGTCGCCTTTCTAATTAGTCAGAATGCCTACGAATGAGCTCGAAGAATTTGCTACACGTAAGCAAAGAATACTCTAGCTTCTATTGCACTTCAAGAGTGCTGAAACCTTTCAAAAATCATTTCTGTAAACTTTAGAAAACTCTTCTTTCTAAAGCTTTTTCAACGTTGGTATTGGGCATCATCTGAAGGCATCCTGAGGGAAGACGGTAGGCGGATCATCCAGAAAAGAAAGAAGGGATGGTTTGTGGCTTCAAAATTATCGAATTCATGGGTTAGGTTCTTAAAATTCGGATTTTGGAAGAAACACAGCTTGAGCACGCGCGACGGCGAACATCGCCGTGACAGAGTCTTGCCTTGCCGACTTCAAAAAAATGTCATTGAATAGCCGATGGAAGGAAGGTAACATGCGAAAACAGTGATAGAATAAGTGTAAAATTCTAATAGATTGTTTTGGTTGTTGTCAGGCTTGCTTCATAAGTTTTACCAATAAAAATCGAGAAAAATTTGGAGGAAAAAAGATGTCAAAATTTGATTTTTCGGCTCTTTGGTTTTTTTATTTCAATGTAAAAAATCTTTTTCAGTTTCCTGCTATGTTGGGGAATGATGCATATGAGTCTGTAGAGCAGACGTAGAGCTTTCAAAAGCATATACATTTTATCTCAAATATAATCAATGTTGGCAAGAAAAAACTAAAACAAAAAATGGGACAGAACTTATTACACGACCTAATAGGTTGCTGCATGACGAAGGCGCAATATCTTTGGGCGCGAATGCGGCTTTATTAGGCGCAGAGCGCATGAAGTGCAGGATTTACAACTTTGAGGATACGCGCGCGTCGCGTCACGTTCGCGTCCGCTCAAGTAATAGTGCTTCTGCGCTTCATCATGCAGTAGCCTATAACTATAAGATTACCTAAATGGATCACGAGCCCAAAAAAATGCTGTGTCCAAAAATGATGTGCCGTCCCCACATAGGTAGTTGTATACTACAAACTTGTAGAAGTATAAACGTAAATTCTCAGCCCTCTACAAGAATTAGTTCTCGAGAAATTTGGATTTTAGCTCGTACCATCTAATTAGGGAAAGCTATATTCGGGATTTCTCGAGAACTGAAGCTTGTACAAAGCTGAAAATTTGAGTCTGTACTTCTATAGGCTTGTGGTATACAACTACCTATGTGAGGACGGCACAGCATCACTTTGGCAAATGCACAAAAATTTCCGTTTTCTTGGTTTCTAACAGAGGGAAAAATACGGCAAAGGCGTATATAAATGTCTTATGTGGATAGTATTTACGTGAGCGAGTAAGAATTTTTGTAAGATTTTTGTGAACGGAGTTACGATTTTTTCCGATTTTTCGGGCTGCTGAGTTTTTTTAGTTTTTGGCTCGAAACTCGAGGTGGATGAGAGCTGTCGCAAAGGCAAGATGACCTTCTTGTAGAGCTTGCTTTGCTCTATCTAGTGTTATTTTGCAACCTACTTAGAAATGAGAAGTGTATGACTTATTGCGGTTCAAATACAAAACGGGCATTAATTTCCGGACAACCTAATACTTAGAAGCAGATATTTTCCCGGATAGAGTCTTAAAACCTAGAATTGTTGAATATGTGGACCTTATCCTCTCCAATTCACCAACTGTAGCCTTTCACACTCTGAAGACATAAGTATCCTCGCGTAAATTCCATGCAGATATGAAAAAAAGCAATTCACTGCGAGTACGCCATGGCCTTCTCTGAAAAAACGTCAATGTTTATCATGCTGGCACAGGTTATTTTAACCTTGAGAGATAAATTTCAATGAATACGAAATTATACCTTGAGGTAGATTGTACCTTGAGGTAGCTTCTCAAGGTAACTTATATTGCAGTAGGGTTCATTCTAATTTCACCACTTCAGCCGATGCAGATAGGAAAGTACGCGCCATAAACTCAAACATTCTTCATATCTCAGGCTTTGAAAACGCATGAGCCGCGGAACATCATGCAGTGAATGTGCCAACTCTGCTCAGCCGCTATGGTGCAGCCCACCCGCTTCTTTTAAGTGCAGTTGCACTAAAATACACTCGAAACGCGATCCTCCATAGGGCGGCTGACACCGGATCACCGAAGTTTACTATAATTCCTTCCCCTGTCAGCCCACAATTTGTAAATCGCAGTAATAATTGAGGGCCACAGCTCGTCTGCTTCCAACGTCTGAGCTGGCACGTTTGTGCCATTACGACAATCGTTAGTTTTGAATTTGGTATAGCTGATTTTGGTAGATAATCTTTAAAATTTTGCTTTCGCTGAAGGAGAAAGATCATGGCGTTCACGTAGCTTCGCACTCAGTTTGTAACAATTCCCTACGTTAAGGGAAGGGAAGGGGAGGGGGGTTAAGGGTCCGTGCTGCATGCGCGCTGCCCTTGGGATAAACTCCAAAAAACGTGATTGATATGTCTTTTAAGAGTACCAGGCTCTTTATTACCTAGTGGTTCTCTTTGCCTTTCTCATCCGTTCCTCCAGCAGCGCAACATACGCAAAGCGAGCATTGCGTGCGAACGGTCCTAAAATTTATATACCCACAAACGAAAGTAGAAAAGAGGGATTTACAATGATGAACTTTACACACCGCTGAGAGTTATGGCAAGCCCTGAATGAGTGTCACCGCACATTATGCAAGCTGAGGTATAGTGTGGACACCGGCCGGCTTCCCATAGATACTTACGCGACGCACCCGCAACGCACGCCTTCAGTGCGTCTCCTGTCCTAGCCTCTGATGGGAATCCTCCTTTCTCTCTCTTTTTTTGTTTTTGGCGTACTATATTCTCTCTATTTCCGGTATAAACAAATCGCGATGACTGGTGACGAGATTTCACGTGCTCTAGTAGTTCTAAGAGCTTCAGTTTTGTGTAGTAGTCTTGTGTTTTCCCTTTTTTCTCTGAAAAATTGAGATTTGATTGGATATTAAGATAATATTCCTTCAAAAGCTTTTTGTATGAAATAAGAGTCCCCTTTGGTTTGATGTGTAAGATGTAGACAATGTCTCAAGTTAAAATTGAGCCTTCCGAGAAGCCAATAGGCATTTGTTCACGAAAATGTCCACTTTTTTGAAATTTTTGACCACTCTAGTTTCTACGTCTACGAAGAGAAATGTTTTAAGAATGCTTTTGTTCTTTAATTTCTCTACGTATACTACAACCTATCCATCAATGCAAGTTCGGAATATGCATCCATTGATTGTAATTTGAGGTACTCATGGAGGCTGCCTGCATTTCGTGTTGCATACGTCTCTTTCGAAGTGAACCTAGAGGTTTCCACTTTACATTTTTCTCTTTTATGAGCATAAATGTGCTCTACTGCTCATGGGTGAGGCGAGAAGCATTAAGAAGGGCGCGCGCTGCATGCGCGCCGCGGAAGTACCTATGGGAACCTGGCCGGGGTCCACACTATAGAATTAACCTTGAGGTACTTTGATGAATACGAAACAGCCTTAAGATAGAGCGTACCTTGAGGTACATTTTACCTCAAGGTTCATTTTACCTCGGGTAGCAATGATGAATACGGCCTCTGGTTTTGACTCCCAATTTCAAATAAATGGTGCATAGCTTGGTGCTTTGAGTTGAGTGAAGGAGTGTAGGAGGATATGAAGTTATGGTGCTAGACACATAATCTAACTAACATACTACAAAGTTGTGAAGCATGAGAATTTTCAGAAAAGTTTTGCAGACCTCCAAACGCTAGCAACTCTACTGAAGAGCGGCTTGAAACGGAAGACTTAGTAGATAACACCACAACCTT